TTTGACAGTCCAATTAAGGTGGTACCTGTAATAATTGTGTAATTAAAAAAGTGTTGAACTTTTCATATTCTCCAGATACTCTTCTATCTCTTGAGTAAAAGAAAAATTTCAAGACATAAATTTTTACGCGAATTATGTAGTATTTGATTCAATGACTTGAAGATGCCGTTATGAAATTTAGATCACTTTTAGCAAAGAATGAAGTGAATTGAAAAAGCTTTATTTTAAAAGTCATTGAGGAACATGTTTTATTGTTTGACTGTACAAAATATACACTTTAATATGACAATTACTTGATTTTTTTTGTCAACTGTTTTGCAATTAACGAATTTCTAAACATAATTAATTTTCGTCTCGTAACTGATTAATTTGGTATAGGAATAAGGTGCCGCTTAATCTAAGAAAAATGCTTGGTCACTAAGTACGATGTAAAAAAACAGTTATTGGCACCTTACTGTAATCTTCAACTATTCCACATTATTATTAATGCCACGAACATACATAAAAAAAGGCCGAGGGCCTCGTTATTCCAAAGATGATTTTGAAGCCTGCTATTAGAGAAATTTCCAATGGTGGCGATATCCGTGTTGTTGGCAGAAAATACAATATACCTTGTTCGACTTTATAGCTTCATAACGCATCACAAGCCGCCCATCTTGGTACCGAACGTTCAACACATTTTACCGACATTGAAGAGATATATTTAGTCAATGCTGTAACTGTTTTACAAGTAAGTTCATTTTTTCGAATCAAAAACCGAACTAAAATTTTGACGTTTGTTACCGGTTTAACATTACCGTGGTAAAACTCTAATATTGCTACCGAAACGTCGGTAACGGTAAAAACGTGTTACCGTTACCGCTCATCTCTAATCGGTGAGCTTAAAACATCCAATGTATTGTGCAACCCAATATTACCCACTATTATTGTACAATATTATTGGTTCCAATAGATTGGGTGATCAATATTATTGGTCCCAATAGATTGGGTGATATAGATTGGCGGATATTACTACTTCAGAGTGATGTTTTCGGCATCGGCGGATAGGGTCGATCGATATGAAACCTACTACCATTTACATAAATCTTTGATGTCAGTGATGAGACTTGTTTCATATTGTAGAGCTCAACAAGCTGAATCGAATGGTGAAACCCCGTAAGTCTCTAGTCTTATTAGAAAAAAAAGTATAGCCATTTTATCGTCGCAGCGAAAAAATGGATTTTCTGGCGGATTTGGCCTGAAATGTAGAACGCCTGCTGACCACATTCCCTAACGTAGAACCCTGAAGTTGGTCTTAAATGAAAGAGCGCGTCGACTTCTATATATTTCGATGAACAAACGTTATACTAGACCTCGAGGTCTTGAGACAGAGATTGCCATAAAAACTCGGTTTTCTAGCATACCCAGTGGCCTTAAAATTTCTTTCCGAAGTTTTCCAACCATATCATTGGATAGCTCCTTCAATTCTCCAGAAAACGAGATGCTGGCCATATTTCTAGGATGTTGTGCTAAAATGCTACAGAAAATACGGTACAAATCGAAACTTCGGCATTAAAGCGAATGGCTTTATATTCGTAATGTTAAACAGCCTGTAACCCGGTCGTTCGAGATCGTGGAAACGTTGCTAACATCTCATTTTGTGGAGAATTGAAGGACAAAATTGAAAATTTGCTTTAAATAAAGTTGGTACGGTGCGATAGCTTATTCTGTATTACACATATCCATCTGTAATCACTGTTTCTTTAAGGGCCCCCTCCCCCCCTCAGAAATGACGAATTCAGTTCGTAGAAACTAGCGAAAAAGGAGTTTTACGAAAACTGCGGTTTTCAGGCTGTTTTCAACTGATATTTAAAAATTCACTGTTCGCTCAAAATACATCAGAACGAGTTCAAAACTTCAGAATGTAAAGTATTTAGGCTGTTCTATATCCTATTCACAGGATATCTAGAAAGATTTTACAGAACTCGGGTTTTCTCGAAGGTTTTCTGGAAAACCCATTAACAAAAATATGCCTTTTCGATTTTTCGATCTTATAATCATGTTTAGCGGACAGCATTAACCATATCCTGAAGTTTTCAACTAGTTCTGGTGTATTTCGAGCGAACAGTGAATTTTTAAATATTAAATGAAAACAGCCTGAAAACCCCAGTTTTCGTAAAACTCCTCTTCGATAGTTTCTACGAACTTTTTCTAAAATCAAATATTGCTACGAGACTCAGTATGATCGATTACCCATAGTCCATAGTTTTAAAGGCTACCAACAGTCACCAGGTGCTAGTCCTGGGACTCATAGGAAATCCGATACAGCGCCCAAGCCACGGAGAATCAAGATGCCGTTTAACTCCCGTCTTCAAGAGGAGAGCCCATGAAAAAAAATCAATACAATCCTATTCGAAAATTTTTACATACGACCTGGTTTTTCAAAGATCTTCTAGAAAACCTGTTTCAGGAAACTCTTCAGAAAATAATTATGCTTGTGGAAACATGTCCACAAGTCTCCTTTCGCATGGAAAAAATCGGAACTCTCTGGCTGCTGCTTGCTTCAAAACTCGTTTTTGTTCGAACATGCCCAGTGTGGAACCCTTTTTTTAAATATACTTCAAGCTAGAGATCTCGGGTTGGTTTTATTTTAAACTAGACACCTAACTGCGTGAGGTACTGGGATCCGATTTTTGAATTAGGCTTTCCTTTTCTAGAAAATCAAGAATCTCTGGAAAAACCGTAAACATTTTTCGGGTTTTTGAGAATCTTCGATCTCAAGAAAACTAACGAAGACCTAAATCAAAAATCGGGTCCCAGCACCTCACGCAGTTAGGTGTCTAGTTTAAAATAAAACCAACCCGAGATCTCTAGCTCGAAGTATATTTAAAAAAAGGTTCCACACTAGAGGATGGCTTTTGACCTTGGACTCTGAAAAACCCCGGAACGATAAGAGATAGCGAGCTAAGAAGAATTTCATAACCACACTTTGATATGGCAAATATTTGCTGAAAGTTTGATCAAAATCGGATGTAAGACAAAAAAGATTTTTTCCGAGGGAGGGGCCCCTTAATCCTCATCAATACTCACACTCACCCACACCCTTACCCGCCCCGACGCCTTTGAACTTCAACTATCGTTGCACCCAAATGTCGTGCGCCCGAGTGTCGCGTAATACATTGTACGCCCAAGGTGTCTGTCTGTTTTTTGTTCTTGCATAATCATACCGCACATCACAATGACCAGCCTTAGTTCCTTAAGCTTGCAAATCATTAAATAGACGGCTTCATAAGCAATTTGCGGCTAAGAACATTGTGTCTAAGCAATTTTTTTCTATCAAAGTTGTTACATTGATTCTTTTTATCGTAGAATCTTCATAATGAGGAATCAATGTTGTTATCATGGACCGATGCGGTTGTTAATCGTTTTCTCATTGATAACAGTTGTCTTCACTGATCCATTATTGAAAAATACTTCATACGGTCAAGTATTAGGTACAATAAAACAAAAGCAGGTACGTGTTTGGTATTATATCCCATACGCATTACCACCAACCGGTAATTATCGATGGACCACCCCACAACCACCAATCTCGTGGTCATCACCCTATAATGCAACAAAATCAACTCCATATCCAGCATGCACACAACCGAATTCAAGTCAGTTAGTAAATTCAGTTATACAAGAAGATTGTTTATATCTAACTATATACGCACCATTAAATGATTCATTACGTTATCCTGTTATGGTTTGGATACATGGTGGTAGTAATAAAGCTGGAAGTGGTTTTCAGTATGATGGTACAACAATGGTCTATGAACAAAATGTTATTATTGTTACAATTAATTATCGACTTGGTATATTTGGTAATTTAGCGTTAAAACAATTACAACAAGAAGATATGTTAAATCAAACAGGTACATATGGTTTGTTAGATCAACAATTTGCATTAAAATGGATTAATCAAAATATTGAAAATTTTGGTGGAAATTCATCACTAATCACGCTCTTTGGTGAATCAGCTGGAGGCTCTGCTATATGTGCTCATTTAACATCACCATTTAGTTATGGTCTATTTCAACGCGTTATTATTGAATCACAAACGTGTCAAGCATATCAGTCATTAGAACAAGCGTTTACTCAATCGGCAGTTATTATTCAAAATGCTAACTGCAATAAGTCTAATGTTTTATCTTGTATGCGAGCATTAACAACACAAAATATACTGTTATATGATCCTAATAGCCAAGGCTCATCGATATGGTGTACAAGTGTTGATGGTGTTAGTTTATTAAATTTTCCAATAATCTCAATTAGTAATGGTCAATATAGTAAAAATATATCAATATTCATTGGCACTAATTTGAATGAATATTCATTATTTTTATGTCTAACTGTTAATCAACTAGGTAAAACACAATCAAGTTTTTCAATAACAGATTTACAAACATTAACATCAGTAGCATTATATGACTTTAATATTAAAACATCAACAATAATAAATCAGTTATATCCAGTTAATAATTATTCAGATCCATATATGTGCGGTGTTGATATTTATACTGATGCCATGTTTAAATGCACAGCTAAGTATATCGCTGATTCTATGTCATCATCTTCTTCCGTTTATATGTATTCATTTGAATATCATGCGGGATTTTCATCGTCGTGTACTGGAATTGAACATACTTATGAGTTACCTTATATATGGCCTACACTACAGATAGCATGGTATCCCTATATAGCTAATTCAGCTGAATTATTATTAGCTAAAACAATGCGTTCTATTTGGGCATCATTTGCCTTATATGGTACACTTCTTTTACCTAATGGTCAAAGTTGGCCGTTGTATAGTAAAACAACATCAACATACGGTTCATTTGATACGGCCTCATCTAATGTAACTATAAAAAATAATTTTCGTACAAGTACTTGTTCCATATTTAATCCATTTTATCAAAATCCACCAACAAATCAACAGTCATTTACATTTAATTCCATGGCACTACCATCAAACCAAGGTTCAACACCAACTATAAAAGCAACATTTTTTATTGATAATCTATGTACCTTCCTCTTACTTGGCATTATTAAAGATTTTCCTTACCACATAGGATATGTGTAGCAATACAAATTCACACTTTAACAAGTTATAGTGAAAGTTCGATTCGTTTCATAAATTAGTGTTCTTTTGTAGATTTGATTAGTGCAAAACAAAAGGGTAATTTTTAATATTTTTTAAAATTTATAGAAACTTTAAGGCTTTTCACTCTTTGTATATCAGCTATTACTCCTATTGTATTGTTTTAGTTGTTCTAAACTACTTTTTTACTCCTTACTGCGTGCTTCTTTTTCTCTTTAAAAATAAACTTTTTATTTCTACTTGCATGTAGGAAGACAACCATAATATTATTTTTCAGATATTTACTTTTCTTTATTCCAAAAACCTAGTTTTTGTCATATATGATACATTATGCAGCTGTGGTAAAAGTAAAAATGAACAAGAATCTCATATACATATTTTCTTTTCTTTCATACAGGCTGTCAGAAAATGATAGGCCCCTATATTAGTTTCACGAAAACTGCTGTAGTTCTTCAATCTCTAAATCTTTTTTTCAAACGGCTTTCTGATACAAATAACCACGTGTCTAAGCTACATTTTCATATAGTTCCTTTCGTTTCTAGACCAGTCACCACAGAGAAAAGGTGAATATGTTGGAAAAGTCATGTAAGATAATTATAGGCACCTCTTTTACTTTTTATTTATTTTCCATAACTCTCGAGTTAAACAATTTTTGTTAGGTTTAAACATAACATGGTTCGATACAGAATTTTAAGGGCTACATTTTGGTAAAAAGACTTTCTGACAAGTCACGTTTTTTGATTTTGAAATTTTAATTTTAAGTAGAGAAGGTGAAAATTTTGAAAAAGTAAACTTCTAATATCTAAATGTTAATTAAAACTTTTTCCAACTATGACATTCGAAAGAGCAGAGAAAACTGCATCGAGCAGTGGTATTATAACTAAAATATAGAGTTATTTTAGTCTAATTAAAATGATTTACCTAAGTCTCTCTCGCACGACATCTATTTAAATTGCATTTTTCAACTGCTTACCATTTGCTTACCATTGTGTAAAAAATTATCATATTTTCTGGATTTTTCCTGCCTAAGTTATGTAATTTACAATGTTGATCATGAATCTAATGTCATTTTCTATTCGTATATCAAAGATGTTCCTTTATCGTTCTGTGTGCATTTATATTTTTAAGAGATTATATCTCCTGAATCACACGTGAATATCTTTTAGCCATTGCATGGTTGAAAGTATTAGCATTTTATCCTGTAACTTATTCTGAGATTGTTTTCTTTGAAAAGAAATTTGAAATACTACAGTAGAAATTACTACAAAATATAAGAATAAATGTTGTATGATAAATGATAGGACATCTAGTGGAAATGATAATTTGTGTAAAAGTGCTTGAAACAGAGAATTTTTCTACAGTAACTACAGGATATAAACGAACTTTCGTCACAGCTTTTTGTGGAACAAACGTCATCGCAACTTACAATATGCATTCGCAAATTAGAATAAAACAGTTAAAGTATATAAATGGTCTCTGGTTAGAAAATCCGAAGGAAGAGGAGTAGGAAAAATTGAAGAAAATAACCAATATAGAACTGCTACAAAATACATGATCAGGCTGTTACAAAATCTAATATTTTATTTTATTTTCAAGCGTTCGATACGTTTCACGCACAATCATCAGGAAAATGAACATAAGAAAAAGATAACTGATTTATATGGTCTGTAAATGTGAGTATCAGACAAAAAATTAAGAGGGACAATTTTTTGACTAGACGATAAAGAAAGGAACATATGAAGGATTATATGTTCGTAGAACATAATTTATGGCCGAGTCTCTTTTTATTAGGACATGAAGCAACAATCGTCAGGCGAATATTTTTAGTTTATGGTCATTTATCGACTTTCCATAGCTATTACGTGCAAATAAACTCTTTTTACTTATGAAATAATAAAGAATACAGAATGATATTTGTGCATAATAACAGACGTTCGCCTATGCCAAATCAGAATATAAAATTATTGAGCCTAAACGTCTAATTGTGTCCGACATAAAATATATTTTTCAGAGGTGTAGCATTGTAGCGTCGTAAATAGAAAATGTTATATGTTAGTCAGCGCATCACACTCTACGATGTACAAAATATCCCGTTCAAAAACCCGCGTTACATTTGGATATCTTCCGTCGTTAAACTGTATCTAGTAACTTCCATTCAACAACCGTTGAGATACATGTGAAAAGCACCACACTTATGGTTCGATTGTGGGAAGTGGTCACTCATCCTCTTACTAGTCATGCTCGTTCACAGTGGAGAAAGACAGTATTAGTCACAATTCTCCGATTAAAAATCGGTCTGGATGTCGTGTCTACGAAGAATGGTTCATTACACTTCTGCTTACGTTTGAAACATTGAGGAATGTTTTTTGTTCTTTTCTTAAACTAAAATTTTTACTCCATGTTCAATACAATGTTCAATACAATAAATGATTCGAAATAAAACGATTATAACATGGCAAACATTCACTAGACATTTATCTCTTCTTTGCGCATTTGAGATGAATAAAAGATCATGTACTCAAGATAGAAGGTTAAATTCCATTTATTCCGATGCCACTTCGGACACTTTGATGGCCTTCCGGACACTCCACTTACTCCGCGGAGTACCTGAGTGAGCTGTTTCTCCTTTTGGCGATCTTCTAACTTTTGTTTCTGCTAGTGTAAGAAGTTGAACACAACGAAAACGAAAATTTTCCAGCACAAACTGATTCGGTTGTTTTCGAAGAAAAACTTGGAGAACTTTAATGATAGTACCACACATCTGCTCACTTGGCTTACAAATCCGTGTCTGAGAAGCAAAGTAACAGTTGAAGAGATGAAAGAGAACGCTTGCTTCTCTCCTCAATTGTTTGGTGCTTAGAAGACAACTTCTTTTACCTTTTTATAAGGTTTTCCCATCTTTCATTCATTCTTTTGATCACAGTGAAACAGCATCTCAACTATTAAATGTACTTATAGTCACTCTACTCTGTCAAAAAATTATGCTTACTTCAAAGGTTTAATAGCTGGTGAATGCCTATTGGACGAATGGCTAAAATCTGAATGAAAAAAAATCGTGAGCTGGTATTCTTATTTTGAACTGATAATAATAATAAAAGCTTATCCTCAAAATCTGAGCGCATAGAGAAGTAAAGTAATTTTGCGTTTTACGGTTCTCCACGCTGCTGCGGAAACGAACATCAGCAATGGCTGATTTTATCTGTGTATTTGACTACAGCCAAAGTGGTACTTCATACTGAATGACTTATAATTGTGTACAGTTTTGTTAAAGAAATAAAGGTCAAAATAACAGGAAAAAATCTAAGTGGCTCAATTTTTGGTATAAGGAGTTTTCTTTGAATTGTAGTGATAGTTGCAATCTGCACTAGCTATCAAGCCGATGAGTCATTATATAGATTCCATCGACTAATTAGAGTATAAGAATAGTAACGAGAAATGAGAATGTAAATTTGGCTGATGTGCTTTGCATTTGAAAAGTATTCAGTGAAAACAAGTTTTATACGCTGTTACGTGCTATTAGCGGAAAAAGGTAATCTATAATTACAAATATTTTTTGAAGATTCTGAAATTAATCCCTTCTTTGGTTCAAGTCTTGACTCTAGCTTTCTTGTCAACATCACAGAGATAGTACGGTATCGTCCCGATTCGTCGACAAATCGGACACTTCAGAGAATATACGTCAAAGAATTTCAAAGGCGGGAGGGGCGGTGTGAGAGTGAGTGTCGACGAATCGGGACTGAATCATCATTTTCCGTACTATCTCTGTGATGTTG